AGAGCAAAATGGGATGGGGCTGCCACATTGCGGATCCACATGAGAGATTTTGGTCCCCATGTTTCAGAAAGTCAAGGTGAAGCAGCAGTGCTCCACATAGCAGTCCCCACTCAAATTCCTCTAACCTCACTCCAGACACAACCCACAACTGGCACAGAATCAGTAGCCTGAATCTGTAGTTTTGTGTTTGATCAAGGGTCTCTCCTCTTGGCACTGGCCTAGGACAGGGAGTGGTGTGCAAAGTCCAGCTGCTTTGAGACATGATATTGCAACCTCATATGCACATTCTTTTGTTCATTTTAGTCTAAAAAAAGCACCAAGCATGTTGATAATAGTTTCCAACCAGAAAGGGAGCCATGAATTTAAATTTGCTGGATCATTTGTAATGATTCTGATAGTTTCTGACTAGAAGCCTCTGCTCACATCAATGTCAGGAGCTAGTGCTCAGTCTTACATTCCCAGGAAGGCAAACTCCTTCCCTATATAGAAGTGTTGACAGCTGGTCAATCAGCTCATTTAGTGGAGGAGTCCACATTGGTTACCAAAATAGCATTTCAGTATATCTTATATAATATTAAAGATATCTTACTTATCAAACAGACTTTGACTTTCAAATTATAATTCAGCTCTTGTAATTTCACCAACAGTCTAGAAAGAAAATCAGCCATTAATTAAATTATTGACTATAATTTTATGCCAATTCCCCATCTCGAATATGTATATGAATCAATCCTCCTCTCCAGTTTTTTTTGTCATACAACGAAATTAACATATTTATATGTTACTGAGTTTTCTTTTTAAGTGTATGTGTAGAAATCAATTCTTAGCTATGTAATTGCTTAGGTAAACCATAACATTAAATTATGATGGAACATAGCACTGATTTATATTCCTACCAAAAACTCAGGAAGATAGCTGCTTTATATACCCCACAACAACATAGGGTTTTATCAAAAATTTTTACCTTTGGCCAATTTATATGGGTAAAAAATAGTGAACATTACTTTTTAATAAAACTTCTATCTAATTTTCTGTCCTATTGGAAGAAAAAAAACTATCACCAATAATCATAAAAAGGAGGGTCACAATATAGCATCCAAGGTAGTATGGAAAAATCAAAGATCTTAGCCCTATGCTAAGACTCGTGAGTTTCTTTTTTTTTTTTTTTTTTTTTCATTTTTCTTTATTATTCATATGTGCATACAAGGCTTGGTTCATTTCTCCCCCTGCCCCCACCCCCTCCCTTACCACCCACTCCGCCCCTCCCGCTCCCCCTCAATACCCAGCAGAAACTATTTTGCCCTTATCTCTAATTTTGTTGTAGAGAGAGTATAAGCAATAATAGGAAGGAACAAGGTTTTGCTGGTTGAGATAAGGATAGCTATACAGGGCATTGACTCACATTGATTTCCTGTGTGGGGTGTTACCTTCTAGGTTAATTCTTTTTGATCTAACCTTTTCTCTAGTTCCTGGTCCCCTTTTCCTATTGGCCTCAGTTGCTTTAAGGTATCTGCTTTAGTTTCTCTGCATTAAGGGCAACAAATGCTAGCTAGTTTTTTAGGTGTCTTACCTATCCTCACCCCTCCCTGTGTGCTCTCGCTTTTATCATGTGCTCATAGTCCAATCCCTTGTTGTGTTGCCCTTGATCTAATGTCCACATATGAGGGAGAACATACGATTTTTTCTTTTGGCCAGGCTAACCTCACTCAGAATGATGTTCTCCAATTCCATCCATTTACCAGCGAATGATAACATTTCGTTCTTCTTCATGGCTGCATAAATTCCATTGTGTATAGATACCACATTTTCTTAATCCATTCGTCAGTGCTGGGCATCTTGGCTGTTTCCATAACTTGGCTATTGTGAATAGTGCCGCAATAAACATAGATGTGCAGGTGCTCTGGAGTAACAGTCTTTTGGGTATATCCCAAGAGTGGTATTGCTGGATCAAATGGTAGATCGATGTCAGCTTTTTAAGTAGCCTCCAATTTTTTTCCAGAGTGGTTGTACTAGTCTACATTCCCACCAACAGTGTAAAGGGTTCCTTTTTCCCCGCATCCTCGCCAACACCTGTTGTTGGTGGTGTTGCTGATGATGGCTATTCTAACAGGGTGAGGTGGAATCTTAGTGTGGTTTTAATTTGCATTTCCTTTATTGCTAGAGATGGTGAGCATTTTTTCATGTGTTTTCTGGCCATTTGAATTTCTTCTTTTGAGAAAGTTCTGTTTAGTTCACATGCCCATTTCTTTATTGGTTCATTAGTTTTGGGAGAATTTAGTTTTTTAAGTTCCCTGTATATTCTGGTTATCAGTCCTTTGTCTGATGTATAATTGGCAAATATTTTCTCCCACTCTGTGGGTGTTCTCTTCAGTTTAGAGACCATTTCTTTTGATGAACAGAAGCTTTTTAGTTTTATGAGGTCCCATTTATCTATGCTATCTCTTAGTTGCTGTGCTGCTGGGGTTTCATTGAGAAAGTTCTTACCTATACCTACTAACTCCAGAGTATTTCCTACTCTTTCTTGTATCAACTTAAGAGTTTGGGGTCTGATATTAAGATCCTTGATCCATTTTGAGTTAATCTTGGTATAGGGTGATATACATGGATCTAGTTTCAGTTTTTTGCAGACTGCTAACCAGTTTTCCCAGCAGTTTTTGTTGAAGAGGCTGCTATTTCTCCATCGTATATTTTTAGCTCCTTTGTCAAAGATAAGTTGCTTATAGTTGTGTGGCTTCATATCTGGTCCTCTATTCTGTTCCACTGGTCTTCATGTCTGTTTTTGTGCCAGTACCATGCTGTTTTTATTGTTATTGCTTTGTAATATAGTTTGAAGTCAGGTATTGTGATACCTCCTGCATTGTTCTTTTGACTGAGTATTGCCTTGGCTATTCGTGGCCTCTTGTGTTTCCATATAAATTTAACAGTAGATTTTTCAATCTCTTTAATGAATGTCATTGGAATTTTGATGGGAATTGCATTAAACATGTAGATTACTTTGGGAGTATCGACATTTTTTACTATGTTTGATTCTACCAATCCATGAGCATGGGAGATCTCTCCACTTTCTATATCTCCTCAATCTCTTTCTTCAGAAGTGTATAGTTTTCCTTGTAGAGGTCTTTCACATCTTTTGTTAGGTTTACACCTAGGTATTTGATTTTTTTGAGGCTATTGTAAATGGAATGTTTTCATACATTCTTTTTCCGTTTGCTCATTGTTAGTGTATAGAATGCTAATGATTTTTCTATGTTGATTTTATATCCTGCTACTTTGCTATAGCTATTGATGATGTCTAGAAGCTTCTGAGTAGAGTTTCTCTGTGAGTTTCTAATCTACCAGCTGGAGACCATGGCGTTTGAGGGACCCTCATGTCTCTAGTCAGCTCCATTCAGTCAAGCATGTGACGGGGTAAGATTTCTACTGCTCCTGTCAACTGTGAGTTCTGGATCCCACAGGTGCTTGTGTGTGGTTGCTGTTAACACTGCCTGCCAGAGGACCAGTACCTGGTTAAAAAAAAAAAAAAAAAAAAAGGACCAGGACCAACCCTGAAGGCAAGCCCAGCCCTTTAGGGTATAGTGGCTCATCTCCAGACCAATGGTTAAAAGCATGCAGCTGCTCACCAGAATAAGCAAAGTCATACGTGCTCACTTGGAAACATTTCTACCAAGGACAAAAGTGGCTACTAACAATGTAATTGACCCTGGTCTTTAAAAATAAAATATTGTACATCATATATTTCGTGTGTGTGTGTATGTGTGAAATACATACACACACATACATGGGTTTAAATATTTGTGTGGACATGGACAAAATTATGAGAGGATAGATACCAGGCTGTTTACTGTGGAGGTCCACAGATATTTAGATCACAGACCACTTTGGAAATCTGATAAGTTATGAATTGACTCACCAGAAAAATGTACACATTGTAACCCTCATTCATATATGCTAGTTCAGTTTTAGGGTATGACTCTATGCTCAAGAGGGGTGAAGCTACTGGAAACTTTAGTGTCTATCATTTACACTTCTGCAATCCTGAATTCCTTTTAACTATGAACATGTATTACAGTTATAATTGGAAAACACAGCAGCTCTCTCTGTGTATGCATATATATATAAATATATGTATATATATATCTATGTATATATAGGCTATCCTTCTATTTTGGCATATAAGACAAAATCTTATTTAATGTAAGAATTCACATTAAAATGACCTCTAAAATTATTTCCTCTAGACCACCCTATATAACAATTCTAGAAAAGGAAATTAAGGGTGCAAACTACCCACTAGACAATGTATGGAATTATATCTTTTTACCTCAACTTTACAGTGAACTGTACTCCAGTCTTCAAGACCAGTGGCCTCTGAGGATGAGTTGGCATGCATGGCTGTCTTTCCACCACAAATGAGCTGTAAACAAATTAGCATTTGCAACATTGAGACAGTAAAAGATAAATGATTTTCCCTAAAGAGGAAATAGAGAACTAACCTGAAAGAGTTTGACAAACTGAACACAGTGATGTTTGCTAGTTAGTAAAGAAATCACAAAATACACTCAACAAAAGCAGAGTAATTGTAATGATCTGTGATACTACCCAATAGTGAAAACTCTGAGTTTGGCTATGATCATTTACAAATCTACATTAAGAATCAAATTTACACTAAAAAACTCCTGATAAATGTCCTTAAATTTTTCACGCTCAAATGAAGGCATTTCTGTCGGACATTAGCCACAGGGAGCCAAAGACATTTTCAGTATGCCAATTGCAATATGAACTCAACTGTTCCATTTAGTAACATTTATCTACTAAGTATGTTCAGGACACATACTGTGTTTATAAGTTACTGTGCTAGACCCTTCTGGAAGAAAGCGTGACAAAGGTGCATCTCTGTCTTCCAAACCTTCCAATTTCAACAAAGATAACAGAAACATACAAAAAATTATATGACAAAAAGTAAAGTGGGCAAAAAATGAAGAATTAATTCTGCAAGTCTGGAAGGGAGACTACATCTGTTTGGGAACTCTGGGAAGACAGAGAGGTACAGTTGTACAGCAAAAGGTCAAGTTGCTTGGATATGGGTATGCATCGATGCTAAGTGTGAAGTGGCTGCTGGGTACAGACTGTGGAAGTGTAGTCAGGAGTGTCCAACAGAGTGAGGGGCTCCACATGGCTGGCAGGGGTGAGGACTCTAACTCTGCCTTGGGACAGCATTTGGTCTCAGCACCTAGGGTGGAAAGGCTGAGAAGGGGAATTGATTGGGAGGCTACTATATAAGAGTTCAGCAAAGGATTTGAGACCCTGAAACATGATGAAGCCACAATAGGGGAATGAGAAGACAAGGGTCCTGAGTTAGACATGCTAAGTCTTTGCATAGACTGGTTAAGGAGCAGAAAGAGGAGTAAAAAGTTACTACACTTTCTAGACTAGACGACCGACAGAATGAATCCCATTAATATAAACAAGGCACTGAGGAAGAATGAACTCATATTAAAAAATTTATATGGCCTATTTAACCCTTTTAAATTATCTGAATTGCTATAAAATGTTTCTCTGAATGAAATAACCACAGAAGTGCAAATAAATCTCCTTGGGGTTACCTCTGAATGAGCTGCTGGAAGAGGGTAAAGGTACGATCCCATAACACCTGTTTCTTTTTGTGATAGGGTCGTGGTCATAGGTGTACTTCTGTTCCAACTCCTCCAGCTTTTAAGCTGTTGACGAACCTGCTGCAGACTCTCTGCGACCATGGTGAACCTGGGAAAGTACAAGAGAAGGTGACTTGGTGAGCAACAGTCCCAAAGCAGTTGTATTAAAGAGAACCACAGAAATCAACAAGTTGTATGAGTAACACACTGCTTACATTCTACCCTCCAAGAAGAAAAAGATGAATCAAAGCTTATGCTGGCATTGAAGGCTTAGTTACTTGAAGACAAAAAAAAAATTAATGTGCAGTGAACAATTATAGTCTAGGTCAGAAGTCCTACACATTCCTGAGATCAACATGAAGAGAGATGGGCAGGGCAGGGTTTCCAGATGATATGTGACTTCAACTGATCTTTAAGTTACCTAGGACTGAAAAAGGACAGAGCAAAGAGGAGGACAGAGACAGGGGAAACAGTAAGGCAGATGCCTTCAGGTAATCCAAAAGGCAGTGAGGAGCCACTAGTTTTATGTCAAGACAGTGACATAAGTAAGTGGAATCTCAGCAAGACTGTCAGAGACAATGTGCAAAGGAAAGTGGGGGGAGCATCACGAAAGCTGGGGACGATGTAGGGAGGAGAGGCAAGGCTGGAGGGAGGAGGTGAGGAGGAAAGAATGAAGACTGCTGTTTCACTCAACTGAAACAAGAAAGCAATATTCTCATTCAGTCTTGACTACAAGTATGAGGCCAATGAGGAAACATAGCTCTTAGACTCTTCCTTCCTTAGTCAATTGCAAATGGTGACACAGCCTCTGAGTCAGGCATGCTGTGGAAGTGCCATTTTATTTGTCTGATAAATGGCAGTAAAAAATCTTTTAAAACCTTCTCCCCATTGAAAAACATCTACTTTCACTCCTTGAATCTAGTTCAAAGCATTGAGAGAGAGAAAGACAGAGAAGAGAGAGAGAAAGGTCCTTTACTACAAAATGAGCAAGCAGGATGTAGTTGGGTAAATTCCTAAGGAGGTTCTGCAAAGCATCTCCCACATAGAAAAAATGCAATCCTCATATAGTATGGAAAACTGGATGCATTTATCACTGGAAGAGGCTCCTGTGGCTTAAGGCAAATGCTAGGGGACTCTACATACCCAGGGCCTTCCTGGCCACCTAGAGGGCTTAGGGAGGTTGTTATCTCTCAAGTACAAGGGGCACACTAAACTAGAAGCACTACTCTAACCTACAGCAAATTTGGGGTGTGTATACACAATTCACATAATAAAAAACAAATGGCTGAATATTAATATTGGCTTTAAAAAATCAGGAGTGTAATCTTGTAAAAATAACCCCACTAGATCCTAGTCCATGAGTGCTTGGCAATTTTCTCAGGCCACCATCCTCTCACATTCACTCTGAGATTCCACCTCTTCCATTCCCTCTGTTCCATTTTTTGGATCCTCCCCTGGATTACACTAACTTTCTCATGGAGATACCTCTCATGTCACTGTCTTGCATAGTATTCTGATTAATTGATCTTTCTATCTCTATCCAGGCTAATACCAGAGGGACTCAGAATGAGAAATACACCACCTGCTTAAGACTCTATATATAAGCTATATAGAGTATATATATATATATACTCTACATATATGCTAGCACCTGATGAGTGAAGTTCCCATTCCAGACAAGGTTCTGAGAACATCCACAATCAGAGTGCAGAGTGCAGCATCTCTTGCCAGTATCACATCCCTATGTCTCCCTGGCACTTTCCAGCCATCTTATGCTGTCCTGCAGTCCCTCACCTCTGTGCCTCTGCCTGTGCTCTTCCTTCTGTTGGAAACAGCTCCTCCTCCCTATTTCCATGAAGTACCCATTCACTCTTGGTCAATGCCCTGATGGGCAAGGCCCAAGAAGCAATCTTCCTTGTGCACCCAGGTCCCATTATAGCCTGGTTCACAGTATCTCATAAGAATTTACCTGATAAACAACTGAATAGATGACCCAGGACAAACTATTACTTCATGTAAACCTAGAAAATGCCTCAAGATATTTTGTTTTTAATAAAACATCAGGACTCACATTGTTAAATGTGTTATGTAATAACCATTTAACTGGAGTTTTGGTATAGTCAAATGACACATCCCAATGTCCAAGAATGCTTCACATAAGCAGATATGGCTGAATATGGCAACAGTCATGAACAGCACCATGTTTTCTGAGTGTTCCTGCTAAGAAGCTGCAGTATGTCAAATTCTAAACCAGTGTTTTGACAGGACTCATCCAGCTAACGCAGTCCAACTGTGCTCTGTAGTAGCTTCTGTGGTCAGTCAGTCAGTTGCTAGCACTTCACTCCAGAGGATCTTACCAGTTCTGCAACTGATCGAGGCAAGCATTCGGTGGTCCCCCAATACAGGCACTCTGCTGCCTCCGCTTCCACTCCACTAGCTCATCGTTAATCAGTGTGTTCTGGGTAAGTTCAGTGGCATTCAACAATTCTCTTATTTTGTGAACTATTTCCTAAAGAATATAAAGAAACAAAGTGAAATAAATTTATTTTTAATCATTGAATTTTAAAAGTTTTTTTAAAGCAAAGCAAGTATCTTTTCATTTACAACTGGGGTTCGAAACCAAGTGGTTATACAAATAATTCTTCCTCTCCTCTAAACTTCAAAGCCATTATTTACAATCTTGACAAAGGCAACATGATATTCTGGAAAGCAATCCCTACCTTCCTCTTATTGTCAAGCATTAAAAACATCTGCTTGAGTAACAGCTGTTCTTGTTTCTGGTCATTCTTGGCCACACCATTGGTTTCATTTTCTGTGAATTGAGACATAGTAGATAAATATAAATGCATAAGAAGACAAAAAGATCTAACTAAAGCCAAGACTCACATAAATTTAGGAGAAATATGATACAAGGACAATGTTTTCCCTTTGACCTTTATTAAACAAAAGAAGAAAATGTCCTAAGTATAAAAAGTGAACACAGTGAAACAAGGTACTAGTTTCAGTGACCCATGCCACTGTCAGAATATTATTTAAATGACAAAATTCAAAACTTCAGATAAATGTATATGGAGCATATCTATGACTCTGAAAGAGAAGTGGATAATTAGGAAGTAGTAGTTGAAGCTCCTTTCTCTCATACTTTTTACCCAAATTATAATAATTATCTTTCTCTATTAACCACATAACTACTAGGTTAAAAGTGGTACTCTATGTACATACTGGGATTACTTTTACTTGCTACAATCATTAAAAACAAGTAGGAACAATAAAATAGAATGAAGTTACTATAAAACATGAGAAAAATGCTGAGCTTATCTATAGCACATACACATGGTGCTGGAACATTTAAAAGAATATTAGGTATTAAGGACAGGGAAACTCCACATGTCCTCCAGTCTGTATCAATCAATGAGCTACCCACAATAAAAAAGGTGAATAACACATAACCAGTAGTATCAACTAGGAGTGACTTTGCCCTCCTTCCTTGAAGACACTTGGGAAGGTTGGGAGATAGTTTTGTTTGTCAACGCTAGGAGTTAAAAGGTAATGCCACTGGTATCTGAAGTTAGGGTTGCTGCTAAATATTCTACAAGGCGTAGGATACCCACATAACAGAAAATTATCTGACCCAAAATGTCAATATCACTAAGCTTAGAAACCTTGGCCTGACTCATCAAGAAGCAGGTGACTGATGACTGGTGATTCAGAGCCATGAAATATGTGGCAAATATGAAGGAGTGATTGCCTTTGTTATCTAGAAGAGATAGAAAAAATTATAGCCAATGGACACTCTTTAATTGTTAGTACTTACCTCTGTTCTGTGAGGTTTTGCATTTAAAGTCATATTCATCTTGTAAATCTTCTAGAGTCTTGATTTCATGCTCTATACACTGCAAATAAAGATGTAAACATGTTTTCCACTGATCATCAGCTTCTAAAGCCTCTAAGGAAACACATCATTGCTTCTATAGAAAGCAGGAAAATATGAAAAAAATTCTAGCTCCATCAAAGATGGACCAAAACTCTAATCTCATACATGAAATAATATATGTTCCATTAGTAAGAATGCAATGATAATATTTTCATAAAAGAAAACATAATAATTTTCAAACTGTCATCACCTGGTTCAAGGCCTAAATTTTGATTCTTCTTTATCATTTTTTTGTTAGACAGGGTCTTGATAATGAATCTCAGTCTGGCCTCAAACTAGAACTCTTCCTGCCTCAGTCAGGGATCATAGGCTAGGATTGTAGACTGGGATTACAGGCATGTCCTACATGCTCAGATCATCCTTGTCATTTTGAGACTGTCTCAGAGACATGACTTAACAACTTCATTGTGAAGTATGCAGAAGGGGAAAATAAACTCATGGAAAATCTCATTTCTTACAAGTAAGAAGGATAGCCACACACATCCTATTTAGCTGGAACAATCCTAGTTTAACACCTGCTGTCCTGGTGCAATTTTTTTTTTTGAGACAGGGTCTCAACTATGCAGCCCAGGCTGGCCTTGAACTCATAACCTTCCTGCCTCAGTCTCCTGAGTGCTGAGATTACAGATATGTGCCAAAACATCAGGCCTAGTATAATTATTAACAGGGTGCTCTTATTCATTCAGATTATCTCAGTTTGGACAATAAATTTCACAAATGCTTATTTCATTTATTTCAGATTTGTTCACATTTCCACACATTCTTCTCTGGGTTTCCCTGGCTATTACTAGACCAAGATGGCTTGGTTTCTACTTCAATGGAGTGTTTCCCTAGAAGACTTATAGGATAAATTGCTGTAAAGAATCTGGGGCTAGTGAAGATGCTATCTGAAACCATGCTGCTGTTGCCCAGACCCATGGCAGGCCTGTACCTCTTGGCTGGAAGGCTTTTTCTACAAATATACATCTTGTGTGAAGCAGATTTCCTCAACCTTCTCCTCAAATAGCCATCAAAGGGATAGGAGTGAATGCATGCCAACAAAGGTGCCAGGGTGCTATAGCTATCTTGGAAGATTTATCTTAAAATTGCTGTGAATGTCTTATTCTAATCAGAAATGCACTGGAAGTAGTTTTTCATTCTCTTCCAAGTCTTAGAACAAAACAAGCACTTGAGAAAGTGCTTGTACCATGTTTATCCTAGAACTCTGAGTAATCCCAGGAACACCCTGAAGGGAGAGGTGTGGACATAAAAGGCTTTTTAGAATAATATCTAGTTTATAGCATAATGGGGGCAAAGTCAACACTTACTGCATGATCTTTCAAGGAAGGAAAAATAAGCTCTATGTTTGGATGTTACAATAGGCCATAAAAAAATCTAGTTGGTTATTGGTTTTACCAATTTGTTTACTTCTGGTTTATAACTTTCATAAAATTTTTCTTCTCAACTATGTAAGAGAATAGTTACTAGGTTTACATGCAGGGTGACTGAAACCTTTTCTGCCCTACAGAACGATACAGAGTAAATGCATGTATTTACTAAATACTCACCATAACTTGGTCCTTCACATTTCTGACTTTGCTGTCAAGCTCCTTCTGTTTATCTAACATCACAGTGTTCTGAATATTTCCTGACTGAGCCTGTAATGAGAAGTGCGTGGTCAACAGCCATCATTTTTACTGATAATGCTATTTACACCCCAAAGTCAAGTCCATACCTTGTAGCCCACCTGCCCTCAGACCTTCCAAAACTTACTATAGCCTTCCTGTGTGTTAATAAGAAATAGCTCAGTTGCCAAGGCCTTGGAGAATGCTAGCAAACTATTAACAAGGCTACAGAATGTCTAAATTCAGTATGAGTTTAAAATAGTATTTTAAAATTATGTCTAAAGTAGTATTTCTAGAAGTTTCTATTAATTCATATAGTTGAATGGCACCACATAGGCAAGAGTTCAGGGTTTTTCAAATTCTTGACATGAGATTACCCATATTAATATAGTAATCATTTATCTTAAAGCCTATGATTCAAAGTTTAGTCTCCAGACCAGCAGCATCTTACCACCTATAGAGCTGGCTGGAATGCAGAATCTCAAGTCCTAATTTAATGACTAAATCAGAACCCCATTTTAACACCATCCCCAGTGATTCAGAGGCAAAATAAAGTCGAAAAGCACTGCCAATGAAAATCTGCTATTACAAGATCAGATTCTAGAAAGATGTTATTTTTGCTCCTAGAATCTGATTCCTTTGAAAATAAGGACTATCTTGTTTACCACTCGAACACCTGGGCTAGAACATGGCCTAACATCTACAATATTTTGCTAAAAAAACTCCAGTAAGTCAGAAACACATGGCAAGGAAATATAAGACACATAAGAATTAAAAACATCATCTAATAAAAGAGAAAAAAATAAACATTCATAAAATATGAACTCTGAGTTAATTCATAATTTATCAATTATGAATTGACACTGATATTCCTGTGAAAATAAAAATAAACATGCAATAATAGCAAAGAAATGCCTGAAAAAGCACAGCAATGAGATGGAACTAGCCCTACCACATATACTGTAAGTTTTCTATAATTAAACATGGCCCATTCAAGCTTATGAATAAATCAACAGGAAGGAAAAGAAAAATCTAAAAATACATTCAGATACATATGGAAATTTATATGATAAAGTTGGCAGCTCTCAACACATGGAAAAATACAGGCTTTCTACTAAATGTAACTAAGACAAGTGGATAGCCAGTTGGAAAAAGTTAAAGTTGGACATATACTTCACATTAAATATAAGAATAAACTTCAAATAGTTCAGAGATCTAAAAGTAAAATAATAGAAACTCTGTTGTGGTATTGCACAGTAGATAATAATTATGTACTGTATAGCTAAAAAAAACCACAGGGGGGGATATTGAATGTTTTCACCATGAAGAAATGATACATGGTTGAGGAGATAGATAAGTTTACTTTGGTTTAAACATTAAATAATATGTACCTATAATGAAACATCACATAATTCCCATTATGTATAATTTTTATGTTTTATGTATATCAAAAATAAAAATATGTACATAAGAGACATATAAAAATACATAAAATATACAAAGATATTTGATATATATGAAATGTATAATATAGAAAAATATTTTTTAAATTACAAAATATAAAATTCAAAAGTAAAAGTATAAAAAGAAGGCATACAAATTCTAGGGGGAAAAATGAATGAAGTCCTTTATATTTATCTTTCAATAGGAAATATTATGAGGCAAAACCTAGTATTAAAAAGAGACTGATAAATTCAAATACATAAAAACCCTACATAGAAGCTATGCTGTGAAGAACACAGTGAGAGGTGAACATGTTGATCAGCACAGATTTTATTGTGTTGTCAGGTGCTCAGGTGCTCGATGGGAAACATGGTGACTGGGAGAGCCTGAGATACATTATGGCCTTTTCAACCTTAAGTAGAAGTCTATCCATATTACTAAAACTCTTTGTTATGCTCTTATTCTGTCCTCCCCTTCCTCCCTCTATTCCTCTACTTGACTCCCATCTGTTGTTAAACAGGAGATTGTACTAGTGTGTACTTAAACCTCGATAATTCTAGGTTTAAATTCCAAACGCAATCTTCATTATCTCCAAACCTTAGTCTACTCATCTATAAGATGAGGGATAACAATACCTACCGTCAATGATAGTACTGGAAGCATTTATTCAAATAAAATAATGTTGTAAGGTGATTATCACAGAGTCTGAAACATGATAAGCATTATTCAGATGGGAATTCTATTATTACTCAAAATCACAAAGATGGAAGAGCCAAGGGAAGCCTAGAATCTACTTCATGCCTTCCGTCCAACCTGAAAGAATGTAGTATCACCCACTCTGCACCTTATGGACCTAAATTTTGTTCATACATATAATTAGCTTTTTCATCACACAAAAAGAAAAAGCTTAGTGTGTTATAAGGCATCAGACAAAACATTTATAATCTACTAGAAAATATGTATAATATAACATTCTCTTAAATGTATTTTCTCACAACTCTTCTATTTAAAAAATAATGAAAATCAATACGGATTCCAAAATTTACATGTTTTAATGTATTCAATCTATTGAATCCACATCTACCTATAATACAGTTTCAATATAATTCATCAACACTTGTTTTCTTCATATTGTCTTTAATTCTCTGTCCCCAAAACTGGATTGTTTTAAAGCACATACCAGAAACCATTTCATTCCATAAATACACATTTCAAGCTGAACAGAAAATACATTGATAAAATATTAACTTCAGCAAGAGGGGAAAATGGAAAAGAAATGTTTCTTAACTGCCAAGCCAGGGGTAGGCTAGAGGACAGTGGAAAGGGACCAACTGTTGTGCCTCTCCCTGTTCCTAACACCCTCAGACACCCAGACCTTCCCTCACACCCTGGGGAAGCCTTGCCATGGGGTCCAATCACTCAGGTGTCCTCTGAAAGGCTCAAAATAAACCCACCCAGATCACCAAAAATTTTAATGGGGAGTCCAAGTCTTCAAGACCCAAAGAATAGCCAACTCCAGGCTGGGGTGGGCTGAGGGGCCAAATGTGAGAACAAAGATGAACAGTCTGTGTGTCTTCTGCATGGCTCTGCTCTTGGTTATCCTCTCAAGTCTATTTAAAATACAGAGGGACCCCTGAGTACTGTTATTAGAATGAAAATCTCACAGAATTCAAATTTTCTGTTGTGTCAGGCACCAGTGGCTCATCCCTATAATCTCAGCTACTCAGGAGGCAGAGATCAATCAGAAGAACTGCAGTTTGAACAAGTCAAGATAGATGGGTAGCTAGCAAGACCCCATTTCAACCAATAGCTGGAAGAAATGGTATATGCCTGTCCTTTCAGCTATATGGGAAACATAAATAGGAGGATCTCAGTCCACACTGGCATGGACATAAATGCAAGATCCTATCCCAAAAATAAGTAAAACAAAAAAAGAGTCTGGGAACATGGCTTAAATGGTGGAGTGCCTGCCCAGCAAACATGAATACCTGAGTTCAGCCTCCAATACCACCAAAAAAAAAAAAAAATCCTATTGCAAGTCTCCCAGGTGCATGCCAGGTTGGCAAGTTAGGTTGGGGATAGGCATGCCTCTCTTAGAACAGACAAGGCAGCCAGATTTCTCCCTAATGTTAATATACAACGTTATTCTCTAGATTGAGTACCAAATAAACCAGTTAACTTGAATTTAGAATAATCTTTACATGCTTTACACAGCGAGGTACTTTCAGTGCCACAGGGAGACAGTAACTAAGAGTGCAGAGAAATGCTCAGGAAGGGACTGATAAAGGTCTTCACCACTGCTTCCATCCTCACTCTCCCCATCATGACATAGTTTACCTTGTTATTTGTCTGTGAAATGCACACAGTAAACATTCTACTGTGTCCTCTGCATTCTCCCTACATACTAGAATAGGCTTGGCCAGACCAACTCAGAAAACAGCGGTTTTAAAACTGCCTCCCTACTGGACTGTTCTCACCACCCCACTGCTTCAGAAAGCAGGAATAAATGCCACCACAACATCAAAAAACTATTGAATTGCCAAGAAGGATTGCAGGAGGACTAGTAAAATCATGATCAAAAAATCTTAGTACCAGTACATCTATAACTCATTTACTGTTTGGATTGTCCCAAGTAATTAATTATTCAAAACAAAGCCTTTAATTTTCCCATTAATCTCTTCTCTTCCAAAACTTGTATCCTACAAAAATTCTGCTCATATCTCTTCCCTGTCTTCCCAGTTCAGTAAATAGCACTGCCATTCTCCAAGTGACTCAAGTCACATGCATAGACCCATCCTTGATTTTTCACTCTCTCTCTCACATCCACATCTGATCCTTTGATAAAAGCCCTATTGGTAGCAGGCCCAAAACATAACCCAAGTGTGTGTCCTTCTTCCTACCTCCAGTGATACTGAGTACAACTTCCACAGCACTATCCTAAACCACTGCAGAAACCCTCTAACCTTCTGCCTGCTTCCATTTCTGTGCTAGCACCTGACTTTAACCTAAAGAAACAGCCATCCCCTCAGTCACTCCATAACACCATGTTATCTTCACCACACTTAATATTACCTAGAAGTATCTTGTCTATGTGTTGTCTCTGTCCTCACTTGAATTTAATTCCATTAGATAAGGATCTTTCTTAAAACCTAATTCTACAAAATCTCTAAATCTGACTTTCTCTGCTTCTTGGGGCTATAAAACCAAAGATATATGCAGTGTTGCCTTGATCTGGACTTCAGTAATATTTTTGAAATGAATGAGTGAATTTTTATTGTAATTGTTCAATTAGAAATAGTACCTGATTAAATCTCTGGGCATTTTCTAAAATCTTTCTTTCCTCCTTCAGACAGTTATAGATGATCATAGACATCTGTACTGGGTCTTCTTGAAAATGATCCTACATAGGTGGTAAGAATAAAAATAATGTTCAGAATATTTAGACCACTGTGTGTTATAAATATAAGAACTTATTTACATTCCATGACAAACCTCATTTCTATCCATTAAATTAGCATAAACTATTTTTATAGAAATCAAAATACTCCTTTCATAAACCAGGACAAAAATTGCTTTACCTTACCAATTAAGTGTAGGTACCTGAAGTACTTCATTTTTTTAAATGGAATTTGGTAATTTTTTTTAAAGTCTATTACATGACAAGTACAAAATCATAGATTATGCTACCAAGCATTATAATAAAACACTCATAAATTGATCACCCAATTTAAGAGCTAGAACAATATTACACATTTTATCTACTTCAGTACTCCTTTCCCCATCCTGATGTAACTATTTGATTTTGGCATTCCATTGCTTTCTGAAGTACTTCTTGATTTAAAAAGAAGCATTTGTGTGTGTGCCTGCAGTGCTGGGGATTGACCCCAAGGCTTTGCGCATACTAAGCATGTACTCTTTCCTACCCACGTCCCCTGCCCTTCACAAATGTTTTTACTTTAATGGCTTTCTGTATTTCTTAAAGACAATTATATTCTGTTAAGCTCCTGAGACAATGCAAATGATTAAAGAACTACTCAGATTTCTCAGTTAATATATGTGTTGGCCTATGCTTTGAATTAAAGCTGAGCAGATTTCTATAAAGTTAATATGATTTCTACACTCAAAATCATAGGTACATTTAAAAAGCAAGTTTCCGATTACTTAAGGTAAAAAGTTTGGTTCTATTGTATGAAACAAGAAAAAGATACCTTTTGCTTCCTTTAGAACAGAAAAGTTCTGCTAACACAGAATAAATATGGTATTAAGGCTAAGCACATACTAGGAGTGTGTCAAGAATTCCTAAAACTTTGTATTACATTCTCTTGTGTCTGGATCTTTTGCTTTTGTCTTCCAGGCGAGGGCAACTCTACACGAAGCAAGGCCAGGTGGAATCTAGTCCAGGTCACTAAAACCCCACTGGGCCTCTAGTAAGTCAAACCTTTCTGAACTTACTCTTCGTCTGTATGTGGAGGACTTAGACTTAACTGATCACCAAAATTCCTTGGAGTTTAATGTGTTACTACAGATCATTGTTCTTAAAATGGTTTAAATATTGAAAATTTTTAGCAAAACAAGGTTACAATGTCATATTTCAGAACTGCTGACACCTAACAGGTGATACTCTTAAGCCTGAAAATTCCTTGTATGCTTAAAAAATGAATTGGTGTCTTATTTTATATATATTAGTCACATAAAGAGAGTTTATATCTCTGTAAATTTTCTAAATACCAATGAATGTATTCTTAGTACTTTTTGCTAAATGCAGAAAACTGTTTTAGGTAAACATAGGAACAATTTGACCAAAAAGCAGGTCATACCTGAAGATTACGCTTGCTTTTCCTTATGTTATGCTGCAACAAAAAATTATTCTCCAAAGAAAAGCGACTGTACTGATCATCCAGCTGTGATAGGAGGTCATGGAAACGGATGGTAGCAAATGAAATATCATTGGCAGCATGCTCCCTAGGAGATTTAAAGTTTACACGTTTCATTCTGGATACCACTTAAAACAGATGAAAAAAGTGTTGCTTTCCTTTATTGAAATTGGTTTTATTTTCGTCTTTTTAAACTGACATTGTTTTATCAGCAGATATACAGTATTTCTATCACATACAATAAGCAAGAAAAATTATATAACACTTAAAAGAGATAGTACAGGGAATTATCATGGTGATTACCTCTGGAGAGAAAAAAAAACTATGGGGGCGGGGGGGGGAGCTTCACTGTCTATGTCGGATACTTTCAGAATATTTAAATTTTTTTCAGTCACCAGAAAATAAGTTTCAAAATGGAACACATATCAGTTTTAAGTGATAATTTCCTTAATTTTGTTACTTTCTTCAAATTTCTAATCAATGTTTTACTATAATTTAGCTTTAGTTTTTTAATTCTTTCTTCCTATAGACGGAATCCTAAAGTAACTATTTTCTATTATCTAACCTGTCCGAAGTATTTGAGAGAACATATATCACAATTAAATTTGGCAAAACTATGTAAAAGTGCATAATGACTAATGAACTCGGTTTTGTAGAGACACATGCCCTTTTTTAAATCAACAAACTTTTCTGAAACAGATAATCCTCATAGCCATTAGTGAGGTTATTTTCTGTAAACATGGTTCTAAGTCACTTCACTTAAAGCATAGATAATTTTCCTCCCCCATCCAGTAAGTTTTGCTTACCAGTCTTGCTTTTCTAGCCACTGAGCCAGGTACTGTCTGATTTCCATGGGAAAACTGTCATCATAAAGCTGATGAACCTGCTCCAGGAATTTGGAATCAAGCTGCTGAAGTTCATACCACTGAGACATCCTGTGAGAAAGAGCATACATTACAAACGGACATGGACAGCTCCAAAGAAAGCCTCTAGCGACGTGTTTCTTATATCTTACTTCATCCAAGACATAATTTGTCTCTGAAATATTATATTTAAATGGTGTTTATATCCAAAATTAGTTATGTTTTGTTTTTGCTTTTTGGTGCTGAGGATTGAAACCAGAGCCATGCATATGCTGTAGGCAGGTGCTATATCACTGAGCTACATGTTGTTTTTTACTGAATTTTGTGATCAACATTTTTTTCTTCTCCAGGAAACACATCTTCAGGTCTTTGCTCAAATGTCAAAATATCAGGGCAGCCTACTCTGGTGACCTTATTTAAACAGCAACCAGCTGCTTCCCTGGAAACCACTATCTTTCTTCCCTGATGTATTTTTCCTCATAGTACTTACCACCCTGTGATTCATCACGTATTTTTCTTTTTTATTTTGATTACTTATTTTTGTCTAATGACAGGAAGGATGCTTTGGAGGGGAAAGAAGTTATTCATTGCTGTTTCCCCAGAACAATGTCAGGCACAAACTAGGTATCTAACAAATATGACTCTAAAATGAATTTTGCACTTTTATCAAATAAATAAATGGAAAGCACTATTGGATTTAAGACGAATCACAAAAGAACTCTCTAAAAATGCTGTCCTACAGTACCTTTGGAATCTGACAAAAACATAGTTTAACTGGTATTTTATATTTCAGGATCATATGGTAAAGTTAATTATTTTTGTTAAACACATTTTCAAAGAGATGTATTTTCTTCTTTGCCTACTGCAAATAATAAATTTGGCACAAAGAAGTTTTAAATCTTAATAATGATTTTTTCAAGATTTAAACATGGATAAAGTACCACTTATCTCTGTGGATAACTATTAAGTCAGTTTTTATATACCAGACCTGAAGGTTAAAAATTACAACAAAACCCTGACTTAGGGCCAGGCATGGGAGCTTACACCTGCAACCCCAGCTACCCAGCTACCTGTGATCAGGAGGATCACAGTTGAAGGCTAGCCCTGAACAAAAAATTAGCCAGACTATCTCGAAACACATAAGCCAGGTACAGTGGGTTGTACACACTTGTATTCCCAGCTACACAGGAGGCATAGGTAGGAGGATCACCATCACAGTGTAGCCCAGGCAAAAAGGAGGAGATCCCATCACAAAAATATCCACAAGAAATCAGGCCTGGGGTTGAGGCTCAAGTGGTAGACTGCTTGCCTAGTAAGCACAAAGCCTGAGTTCAAATCCCTCTACCACCAAACAAAAATCTCAATTTAAGTCCTAAAATCTGTTAGAAAAATGAGCATCATGTACCTTAGGATTTACATCAGTGCACACTGGTTTCAGCACATTCAGAGTGGTACAAGTGATCTTGTCCTGTCAGACAAACTTGTTTTCAAGTAGGGCATGGAAGCATGGGGATGCATGCCCATTCTCAAACACACATGTCCTGGTATGAAGGCATGCCTGCCTGCTCTACAGATGTCCTTCTAAAGGAGAGCAAGGAATGCTTAGACTACAAAGCTAGCTACTTTCACTAACACAAGTAGAAATGGGCCCAATCCCACCCCTTTGTCTCTTGTCATACCTGCTGTAGCGATTTGATTTTTCACTTCTAATTTATTTTACCAAAACAAAAAGCTTCAAATCAGCAGCTCTCTCCCTCCCTATCAGGGATATGCCTAAAGCAAATAAGCTGATCTGCCAGCCAATGGTGGCTACAACACCTCTTATTAGCCAGGCAAACCCAGGCAACTTACCAACCTATCACCAAGGTAGTTGTTGGACTGCATGACCTAATACATACACAGCACATAACACCAAGCAGGTGACTCAATAAATTCATGTTAAAAATCCAGAAATCAATTGCATCTTCCCACAAAATCTATTACCAACCCTGGGAGTGGAAAGACCATCCCCAAATCAACAGGCTTAAATCCCAAATTTAGGGTTGACTACTTCCCCTCCAGTCTCTAGACCAGCTGCCTCATTGCTTCCAACCCTCTACCCTCCCAATCCAGGCCTCTGCTGCACATGGATTGGACCATATTATTCTTGTGCAAATATGCTGGTTTTTCCATTCTTAGACTGATTTCCACCCTACTCCGTCTGCATCTATCAACAAAGCAACCCAGACACCAAACTATTTCCTATTTTTGACTGAATCCAACATTTCTGATTTTCTCCAGCTGCCGTTAGCCCATACAAATAGCCATCCTACAAACTTCTGCCTCTCTAAACCTATCAGCAATCAAAGATAGGTACAAATGCTCCCTTGTTCCATAAAGTTTTCTGAGACTTACTCAGAGACAATTAGCTTTCTTTGATCTGAGCTGCATTACATTCTGTACCTCTATCAGAGTTCCAATCTTCTTTGCACAGCTCTATGGTGTCCCCCATTGTATAGTATAAGTTCGAGAGTCCCAGTGGAGTGGAGGGGATCATTTTTCTTTTTAACATTCTCTGCCTTAGACACTACCCTGCATGACTCAAACCATTACGTGTCGATGAGCATATAGCGGTTTGTTCAGCTGAAACCTTGTATAGTCTAGATGAAACTGGAAAGGAAAAGGCAAACCCTTTTACAACATCCAAAGCACAACTATATTCGCACATCTATAAACCTGCCCCAGAACTCTTCGTTTACTGATCAGAACTTAGAGAAGTTCCATTTTGTGGGGTTCTGCAGGAACTCATATCACTGTTAAATTCTAGGACGGTAAGCTCCTCATGCTTAAGCAAGGATACAATTAAGATTTCAAATTTGTTTCCATGACCATTTACTGACCTGACACTTTGTTCCCCAGAAGGGCTGGGAATTCCACGCAAGCAACCGCTACACACAGCAGATTAGGCGGAAGCCCGTTGGAGTTGCGGGCATGGGGTGCCAGCGAGTATCCCAGACAGCCCTGCGGGATGGCTCAGGGCAAATGAAACTTTCTGCCAAGAGAAGAAAAAGTTACCTTGTTGGAAACGGGCGGGGAGTGAGGCGAGTGAAGGGGAAGAGGAAAAGACAGTGCCATCTGGGGGAAATGCGATTTCACAAGTCATCTTGACTGGCTGCGCAGGGGCAGCCGTGCCAGGAATGCCAGCACCGAGAACGGGTGGACCTAATCACACGTGGGGACTTGGGACGAGTTCTCTCTCTGGGATGACGAATTCAGCGCGCAGCAGTGTGAAGCCCAAGCCGGCCGAGCGCCCCTGTCGGGGTGCGTTCCACTCCCAACACCCAGAACCTCACACCCACTCACCGCACTCAAGTGCCGGCAAGTGCGAGTGCAGGTGCGGCGGGGCGCCTCTCCCCGGCGCGGTGGGTCGCCTTGCGGGGCCTGGGGGGATGCGGTGTCTGACAGGAGCGGTCCCCGGATGCAGCAAGCAGCCTCGGAAGACTTCGCGCAGGAAAACGAAAGTACCACGCTGAAAAAAAGGCTGCTCCGAATGCCGGCCCCCCTCCGCCTCCGCCAATCACGGGGCGGCTGCCACGTTCAGCCAATCAGATACGGCTGTTCCCCAGGTGCGCCGCCTCCCGCCGCGGGGCCCTTGACTCAGCCAGCGTTGACACGAGTGGGTCCCCCCGCGAGGGCGATGTGGAGCTCCGCTGCGTGTTGCAACCGGAGGACTGGAAGTTCTGCTTATTCTTAAAAATGAGTCTAAAACAAGCATAATGATATACAAACTCATATGTAGAACATGTTAACTAGAAATACTCTGTGGAACTCAGGGAAAGAGGGAAAGGAAAAGAGAATGACAGAGCATCAGCAATATGGCATAAGATAAGATGTGAAGGTGGACGATACAAGGATGTGAATTAGGAGCGGTTGAAATCGGAGTGGGGGAGAGGTAAAGGGACAGGGGAGAGTAATGGAAGGGGTCGAATGGACCAAAGTAAAGCACACCCACAGTGGGCATGCGTTGAGACATCCTTTGAACATCAACTTAAATATTAATAACGAAAAACAGGACTGTAAAATAGGTACGGTGTGTGGGAGATACGAGTGCGGGGGGGAAGGATAAGAAAGGAGATTTAAAGTGATGGTATACGGTTGATGGACTTCATATACCTATATAAAACGGAACTAAGAAACTCTTGCAATTGCTTTAAGTGGAGTGGGGAGGGGATTGCAGGAGAGAGACGATGGGAGCAATGTAAAATATAAGTCTAATAGGAATTTTTACTATGAATCCCCATATGATGAATACATCCTAATAAAAAATTTATTTTAAAAAATGTTCTGTGTCTGCAGATCCCAAATTTGGAGATCCCTGTTATCCCCATCACTGAGAACTCAGGCAGAGGGCAGGGTTGGGGACCTAGTCATTCTAGAAACTTAGTTTAGCAACTGAACCTCATGTTACCTAACTCAGAACGCTTTTTGGTCCTCGCTTTGTTTGACCCCCTCAGAAAAGCTTGACGCAGTGGACGCTTCCATTCTTGAAACACCTTCTTCCTTGGTCATGCTGACAACACATCCTCCTGGCTTCTTCCTACTTCTCTAGGGTTCTTTCTACATTTCTTCCATCTCCACCACCAAACCACTAACTGTGAAGTGCTGTCAAGGTCCACGCTTGTTCTCTTCTTTACCTACCTGTCTCCTCACATTGTGCTGTGAGGACCTCACCTATAGCTTCAGTGTCCTTCTAGACCTATTCAGTTCACACTTCTCCACCAAGCTCCACATTCACCATTGACAGCCTCTGCTAGACTCTACTTAGATATCTAGTGACCTCAGCAAACTAGCTGTGTTGAGAACCAAAGGCATCATTCTTCTCAAACTTGCTCCTTTTCTAGTATTGGCATATGCCAAAGACCTAGAAATCGTCTTTGACATTGTCTTCTCCCTCAGCACCCCAGCCTGGTCCTCAAGCCATGTTGGTTGCTACTCCTAATTGTTTCCCAAGTCTCATTTTCTTCTTTATATAGCTCATTTGCCATCCCCTTTTCTCCTATCTGGATCATTGCAGTAGGTTCCCAAATGGCTGCCTCACTTAGGCTCTTACCTTCCATTTAATTCTTTCTTCATACAGCAGTTTGAGTGGTGTGTGGGGGTGTGGGATTGGGAATTGAACCCTGAGTCTTGCATATGCCAGGAAAGTGCTCTACTACTGAACTCCTTATCCCTGAGTGATTTTTTAAATTACAAAGCAGACCATGTTACTTGCCAACTTGAAACTCTTACGATGGCTTTTCTTGCTCTCATACAATTCAAATTTCTTAATACATCCTACAAAGCTCTGGTTCCTCTATCACTTTCTCTAAACCCATCTGTGTCACTCTTTTCTTTGCTTACTTCAACAATTTTGTTCTTCAAATAAGCCAAACCCTTTCCCCAAACTTGGCCTTCTCACCAATAGTCCTTTCTTAGGAAAATCCCTTGAACCACATCTTTCCCTCTTGCCCAGCTTCTTTTGCTGGCTAACTCATCTTTCAGGTGTTAATTTAAAGTTTCAGCACAAATATCACTTTCTCAGGCAGGTAGCACTGAGGCCAGACTGAAGTAGACCTTGGAATATATGCCTCTAACACAACTAGTTCCTTCGAGTAGATGGTATTTGAAATAAGCCTTGAATAATAAACAATGTCGGGTATGACAAGGATCTAAATAATTTCCCAGGGATATGCATATATGTGTGTATACTATAGTCTTTTCTCTTTCAACATCCATATACTCCATTTCCCTGTCACACAAATGTACCTTCAGAAAACCATTATTAAGCTGACTTCTAGTTTGGATCCTCCACAAATGTCTCTACCTTTCTCTCTAACCTTATCTATCATTGTCTAATTACCCAACTAAACTTGTCTATGCCCTGCCCTCCCTGTCATGCTTTTAATTTTAACCCTCTCCTATTATTATGGTTTTTTAAGTGTTCAAGTCTTACCCCTCTAAGACTCTAAGTTCCTGGAAGGCAAACTAAATGTATTTTATAACTGTAACTATTTTTATATGTTGGCTGCTTTAAAAAGAAATCAACTCCCCCAAAAAACTAGAGATCCAGAAATTGCCAGATCCAAATACATGATGGCTGTCTTACAACAGTCAACTTGGGAAGCTATCTTTCTATCAACAACACCAAATTTGCAAAAGATTCAAAACTGGGGGAAAGTTTAATGCAATGTCTGGTAAACTGTATTATTTTCAAATGTTTTCTCTCTTACACTCCTTGCCATAAGTTCACTAAGGGTAGAGTATTCCTCTCTATGCCCTGACTCTGGCCTTGGCCATGTGACTTTTTCTGGCAAAGGAATAGTGATAGACCCACCATCTGACCCGAATCTGTGTTCTTTGTTATCCACTTGTTCTTGTGTGTAACTTTCCTGTGCTAGGACATAGTATACCTCAAGTAGTTGCTTTTCCTCTAGTCTGATCTGGGAAGAAGAGAGATGTGGGATACCCTTGAACTTGCCCTCTGGGGCAAGACTGCTGCAGTTGAACTACAGACCCGTAAGTCAGAAGTGTGTTTGCTATCACGGTGTATCATTGTGATTCTCCCCACCTCCACTGAAATTGCTACTTTACAGATGACAAAATGAAAATTCTAAATGATTTCAACAGGTCAGAAAGCTGCTGGACTAAACCAATGGGATACATTTAATACATCAAATCGAAGACTTGCATTGGAGTTAAAAGAAAAAGGCAACAAATGACAGAATCCTCTTTGTCACTAGCCATCAATGAGAAATAGCAGGCAAGATGAAATTTATATTTTTTTCATACCTGAAGTCAAGAGAGTCCAGAAAACTCTCTAGCAAGGAGTCTAGAAAACATAAATATTGAAGGCATTGGAATACCTCATAAATTCACATGATGTGTTGTGGTGGACTCTTGGAAAACATTCCAGACCTCTCATTTTGAGGGAATTTATTTTTGCTTGGAGGAAAAAAAAAGGCACTATTGTTTCTATTCTTTATTAGCTCCTTCTTATATTCCATAATCAACCAGTTATATTTAATTTGTTATATTTTCCTTATTGCACAAAGTATTTAGAGCAACTTATAACAGAACTATTTACGATAAATAGAAATAGAAAGAATACAAACCAAGGCAAAAAGATAGATACTATCAGTTACACAGTTCACATTATACCAAATTAGGAAGGATTTTCTGGAGATTATTTTCAATAATGGCCACATTATTCTTCTTTTGTTATCTACATCCCAGAGTTTTTAGAAACTCTGTAGTTTCTAAAAGCAAGAGGCGAGGACTATTTCTGCAACAACTGAATCTGGGCTGATTTATGAGACTTTCTTCAGCTAACATTGTACAGATGTGACATTGTGTCCTTTGGAGCCTAGCCTCTCATAATCTCAGAGCCCTGCCCAGCCTCCATGACAAGTCAGGCTAACTTCTGCAGGATGAGAGACTACACAGGCCATGGTTGGGTTTGTGCCACTGTCCACTCTTGGGCCTGTGAGAAAGCCCAGAAGAGATCAGATGGACCTGACTCAGGTTAGCTGAACCGTGTTACGTACCCTAACAACACAAGATTGATAAATTGTTGTCTTATCCCATTGAGTTTCAGAAATTAGTTTGGTTTATTCTATAGCAACATGTTACATATCAGATCACTGATAAAGATTTTTAGGGAGGAGCAAAGCATCCTACAACTGAATTCTTAAAGCAAAATTTCTCAAGTGGAACAGGTCTGTTGCCCTTCCTCATCATGAATATTTCCCTAGGGGTCCCTCATGTTCAAAGAATAGCTTACTGTGTGTCCTTACCACATCCTCATCAAAAAATGTACTAGCCTTGTGCTCCCTTTTTATAGCCTTGATCTGTTTCAAAATGGCAGCTACAAATCTGATGAACAAAAGCATAGTAAAATGTTTAGAGACTTGTACTTTAGCCATATTTTCCTAATATCATTGATATTGCTGTGACCCAAATATCTAAGAGAAGGAATTTCTAAAAATGCCAGTCAATGAATGTCACCACACTTCTCCTTGACAATTGTAAGCCTTGCTACTATGCAACCCAGAGAACATCCCTAAATCAGTGGGAGCCCTGTTGATTCATCTTAATATAATGGAATTGCCATAAAGAATTTATAAAATTCCTCTAGTACTCTACATGTAGATTTTGTACAGTCTTACTTGACTTGGTTTATATGTTTTCTTCCCATTTAATAAGTACAAAGGCATAGGAGGCCTCTTCACAGAAGCTTGTTAAAATGCAGGGGTACCTGACAGGGTTTGAGCAAACGAACTGCATGTACATGACATATTTCAGCCCAATACAGAGGAAAGCCATGACTACTTGTGCATAAAGGGCTACCTGTGAACAAACCATGTTCTTTTCATTAACTACAAGTGGAGTCTCGCCCAGAATCCTATTAAAGACTATAATGTAGAGAACACAATCAGTTTTTAGACGTTTCTACAATATTCTT